AGCCAATTTATCGATGATCACTGAGCTCTTGTTTGAGGTAGTTTATGAGGTCTTCTGATGACTTCAGTTGCATCAAATTAAGATGTTTGTTTGTCATCGTCCAGGACATTGATAAGTGTATTGAGTATTAGATTGGTTTCCTTTGGCATTTTGTACTCTTTTGACTTCCCTTCCCTGTGCTTCATTTTCCTGCTTCCCTTACTTGCCTGAACCTTTCAATTCCCTACTAAATGATTATCTTAAAGTCCTAGGTGGACATATTCACTGATAAGGATGTAGTTGAGTTCATTATGATAGCTTCGATGGTGATGTAGATTGTTAAGCCACTAGTTAAATTCACTGAAGCAACCAAAGAACGCACTGCCGAGTGGATTTGTTCTAAAGGAAAATAATCTGGCTTGGCTTATTAAGCATCATTTATATGCAGGTTCTATTGGGTAGAGCAACTGCAGAATTCATTGTAGACATTGACTTGGGAAGTGAGGGAAGCGGTAACAAAATATCTCGACGGCAGGTAGAGTTGATTCAATCTTTTTTTCCAAATTGTATCCATATCGAGAATGTGGTTGTGAGAGTTTTGTCTACCTTTTTAGCTGGGTACAAATATTCTCTTGTTATATTTATCTTCTGTTCATATAGTGTGTCCTTATGGAGATGGATGAATCTTGATTATTCTCTTTTCAGGCAATTATAAAAATAGATCAGGATGGACTTTTCTCCCTGAAGAATCTTGGCAAGTGCTCAATCTCCATAAATAACAAGGATGTGGCCCCTGGTCACTGCCTGCGACTTAATTCTGGTTGCTTGATTGAGGTATGTTTCTCTTGTTACTAGAACGGAACAATGCTTAATGTTTCTGGTTAGTTTTTCTGGAAGATGATCCCCATCTCTTCATTTGCTTCCCCTCTGGAATTGATCACTTTAATATTACTGACAATGTTCAGGAGTGTGCCTTGTAAGATTTACTGGTGGCAAGAAGTATTGTTGTTGTTGTTCCGTGATTTTCTTTGGCTCCCGCATCTTTTATTTTATGATTGACATTATTAACATGACCTTACGTACATAAGAAAAACACGTACACTTTCGCATGGATTACTTATTGAAACCTAGACATTGTGCTTAAAATTATGTTTAGAAGATACAGCAGTTTCATATTTTATCTGTTAATTACTATTCTTCAGGGGCTGTAGCCTTAGAATGGTTGGAACTCTGGATTTTTGGACGTGATCATGTTGCATTGTACGTCTATGCTCAAGAATTTGAATGTTTTACCGTTTTCATCTGTGTGAGCATTTGCAGATTAGGGGAATGGCATTTATATTTGAGTCAAACCCAGTTCGTATGAAGCAGTATGTAGATAACGTAGGCAAGACATCTCACAAACAGGAGTATCAATCATAATGATAGATGGCAACGTAGCTGGCATGGACTGTTGTACAGTCGGAAGGTGCTCATGTTTCTGCACTTTCTTCTGGTTCTTTAGGTATGCTGTGTTAAGTTGTTATCTAGCATGCGATTAGAAATGTAAATTCTAGTAGTTTCAGTAATTCCAGTAGTTATTTCGTATATTGCTTTGTGATTCAACGTTTTACTTCTCAATGAGGTTTCATTGGATTGCTAAAGATGGGAAACAATAGCAACAACACGTTTGTGGAAAGATTATTTCGAGAAGTAACATCAGCGAGGAGTTGTCCAACCAAATTGCGAAGATATAGGTAAATTTGTACTCGTTATCTACCCAACCCAGCCACGCATTCTGGTTACTTGCTGAGACATCCAAGTGGGTTTTAGGCATCCCACAAGTTTCTTCACCATATGATGCTTCCCATCTTTGCACTCTGGAGCCCCACCAACTGAAGTTGCTATCTTTTTGGGATATAGCTTCAGGTCAAAATGAAGGTAATGATCCCTGAAATCGAATCTGGGCTCCTTGCTCTGCCCATCCCTAGTAACCAGCTTGGCCAATTCCATACCTATCTAGAAAGTGTAACAATTTGACTTGGGTCGAAAGGGATACCCTCGAAGGAGGTCTTTTCTGCTGTGCTAGCATTAACTCTTACATTATTTAACAATATCGTGTATATATGGAACTTACAATTACAAGAAATTGATCATAACCTTTGCTGACAAGTTGTGTGAGCTCTGTTGATAATCTTCAATGCAATCTATTGCGAATATCTTGTAATAAAAGACCTTGCCTTCTCAAAATGTGCCTCTAACCCATTGAACAGCCTTGGTGATGTATTTGTAGAGGGAGTTGAGGTAGCAACATTTGACAGCCAATTTAATCTAGAAGCGTAGTCAGAGTGAAGGATATCTGACAAATTCAATACAAAAGAAACTGTAGGTTCGGACAATCTAATCACGATTTCAACTCAGGACAGCTACAAAACGAGGCAGTGGCTGATGTCTGATGTCTGATGTCTGATGTGTTGGATTGGAGAGACTCACCGACCTGTCCAAACTGATAAAAGCCTTATCCACATCTGATTCTGAACTGAAATCGTGAATTTATTGCAATACTTTGTTGTTGTCGAGAAAGGGGATGAATCTTCTTGGTACCTGCGCTGTCTCGATTTTCTGCTCTTCCAAGTTGGTAGCCACTTATTTTGATTTGTCACTCTTACTACTGACATTTTATCAATTAATTTATATCTCTATATGTAAGAAATTATTGAATGAATAGAAGATAGATATAAGTTGTTGGAATATATTATAATTGTGGTTAGGGTGACGGTTCTCGATCCTTAGAGTGGGTCCTCCTGGAGTTTGTAGGCAGATCTAAACGATCTTGTCTGGACAAAGAGATGAATGGCCATGTAATAATAGTGCTGTCTCCATGAATTATTATCTCCAACTCTAAGGCTTGCGTTCATAATTCTGTCTATAATTTCTGTAATTGTTCTTCCAAGTTCCCAACTTTCTTCAACCATTCTTAGTAATACAATAAAGATGAATTCAGGGGCTATTAAAATCTATATCGATCAAATTTTAAGCTCGACAATCTCAAATTTGAGTCATGTATCTAAAATCACATCTGTCCAAACTCAAACTTCATCCTAAATACCTCTATAAATTACTAGGGTTTTAAAACGCGTGTTTTAGAGAGAATTTTCCACACCCTTATAAGCAAATCTCCGATCGATATGTGATGTCACAATCTAGGCCCAGTGTCCTCACTAATGCACTGTTCGGTGTCTAGTTCTGATATCATTTGTATGTCCTTACTAACACACTATTCGGTGTCTGGTTTGGACTGATATGTATCACTATTAACTTCAAGTTTTAAAATGCGTCTTCCAGTAAGAGATTTCTACACCTTTATAAAAAAAATGTTTTGTTCCCCTCTCCAACCGACGTGAGATTCACTAATTTTGTTAGACTCTATTTAAAAATTGTATATCGGTTAATACGAGTTTTACCTCTTGCAACTCAAATCTATCCAACCCCAAACTTCATCCGGACCATCTCTACCACTGACACTCAAAAGTCAAAACAAATTGACACGATTGTAATGGTCCTTGCAAGTGTAATAAAAGTGAGAATGGTGAATGGATATGAAAGTTGAAGATGGCAATGGGGGAGAGATAGCAGCAGCCTTGCTTGCATTATGGGTTACCATACCCCTCCTTGCCTTCTGTCTTTACTTTCAGTTTACACTTCCCTTTCAGTTTCCAGTGCCCCTTCCTTCTCTCTCCCCCCACCAATTTCATCAAACCTCTATCTAGCTACGCATTTCCACCCTTTTGATTATTGTTGCTGTTCTACTTTTACAACAATCTCATACATTTGCTCTGCATTTCCTTCAGATTTAGGATCTTACCCTCTTGTCTATCCTATAAAAGATCACATAAACTTAGTTCACAAGGACTCATAGCAATCAAATGAGTAGCATTTTTGAAACCTAAAAGATCATTATTTATAACTATATGTTTGGTTAACTAATGATGAAATGAGTTGAATTATAGGTTTGTTGATATGGTAGCGTGGTGGGAAGATGTTGATAAGGGTTTGGCACAAAGGATGTAGATGGAGCATTAATGGTCATTCATTGTGTGACATTTATTCATTCTTTTCATTTTATTTTCCAGGGTATCATAACTATTCAATTTATTGCACCCAATAGCAACCCCGCATCCCTACATGCTTTATTCTCCACGATACGAAACCCTACATTAGTGGGAGAGAGGAGGGGAAGCTCGAAAGTGGAAGCATAGAGAGAACAATATCTGCTAGCGGACGTGTTATAGAATTTTGAGGAGGAAGCTCGAAAGTAAAAGTTTAAAGAGGACAATATCTACTAGTAGTGGGCTTGAGGAACGAACAATAAAGGTGTGGAAACCTCTTCATAACAACTGTTTTAAAATCTTGAAGAGAAGTTTCGAACAATATCTACTAGCAGTGAGATTGAAGAACGAACATGAAAACTTCTCCCTAACAAAACCATTTTAAAACTGGGAGGCGGGTAAATACAGCGGTGTATTTATGATATCACTTGATAACGGTCATATGAACTCAAGACCATCCTCACATGAACATACTTAAACTTGTTCAAAAGAAAATGCGAAAGGTTTAAAGGCCACCAGGATGGCCGTGGTGGTCCCGGGCGGCAGGGCGCGTGGAAAGCACTTCCCGGCAAAAGCGGTTTTGAGGATTTTAAATAAATAGATTCGGTAGGTATGGGGAGCTTAAAAATCCCATCTTTTTTTCATATGGGCTTTCCAGTTAAGGTATGGTATTTCATCCACTTTTTTCCAACTTCAACTCATTTTTATTTAAATAAATTCTCTAATTTTAATATTTTGTCTTCTTTCATAATTTTTTCATTATTTTATTTTACTAAAATTCTCTCAATTTTTAAATTTTTATATTTATATTTTAAACTATAATTAAATGACTTTTATCCAATAATTATTTTTATTTAAAAAAAAAAAACTATTTTTATTTTAAAAAAAAAACTATTTTTATTAAGTGCATTTATAACCGTACACCCTTCGCCCGGTTCCCCCTTAGTTTCAGAAAGTTTCGGAGATGAAGATTCAGTGCGACGTCTGCAACAAAGACGAGGCGCTGCTTTTCTGCACCGCCGACGACGCCGCCCTCTGCTCCACCTGCGACCACCGCGTCCACCACGCCAACGTCCTCGCCTCCAAGCACCTCCGCTTCCCCCTCCTCCACCCCAACAACAACAATTTCCCACTCTGCGACATCTGCCAGGTCCCTCCTCTGTTTCTCTTCTTCCATTTTCATAGCTTCTAGAACCTCTCGATTCATGATTTCCAATTTGCAGGAGAGACGAGCGTTCCTATTCTGTCAGCAGGACCGGGCGATTCTTTGCAAAGACTGCGACTTTCCAATCCATTCGGTGAATGAGCTTACCCAGAAGCACGATCGGTTCCTTCTCACCGGCGTGAAGCTCTCTTGTGAGTCTGCCGGGAATGTGCCGTCGTCTTCCTCTATGTCCGAGAAGATGGCTAATGCTTCTTCTGCCCCTGTTTCGAATTCGCCTTCAATTGCGGAGAGTTCGACTTCTAACGCCCAGACGGTGGGTGCGTCCACCGATGGGTGTGAGGCGATGAATGGTGTGGAGTATTTTATTGACGCGATTTCTGGGTGGCATTTTGATGACTTTCTTGATTCTTCCTCTACCGATGCTCCTCCTTTTGGTTTCTGTAAGGTCTGCAACTCTGCATTTATGGAAGTTTTTTCTGTTCTTTTAATTGGGGCGGTGGATCTGAAAATTTGACTTAATTTGAATTAATTAACCCAGCTGCAGAGCGATGAGGTTGATGGTGATTGGGTTTTTCAATTTGTTGATGATTTAGTTGAATTAGAAACGAGCGGGGATTCTTTCTCGTCGGAGGATTGGGGAATTAGGAGCCCAGAGGAGGAGGCTGCCGTACCTCTGTTTTGTTCAGAGATTGAGATGGAGGAAAGGAAGAAAGGTAGAACCTTGAAGGAGAAAACCAGAGGAGGAGGTGGTGGTGGTGGCGGTGACGGTGGGATTTCGGTGCCGGAGGTTGATCTCCGGCCGAGAAGATTCAGATCCTCTTGATTTGCGTTTTGAGGTCGTGATTTTGTGTATACGTACATACATTTTGAATGTTGCGGCCAACTCCAAAATCAGAAGTGCATGGTTTCCTTTTTTTGGCTAAATTCTAAAAGAATATATCCATTAATTTTGTCATGTCTTTTTTAAATAATTCTATTCTTTAATTTAATCTTTCTTACCCATTTTAAATTAAAAATATATTTAAATATTGGACTAAATCTAAACAACCATTTTCATTATAAAAAAAATCTAAGCAACTGAGTTTCTCTTAAACTATTTGTAACGGTTGAAGTTCATCACGGTAGGTATGGTCTGTCTCGACCTATTATGTATCATCGTCTGTCTCACTATTTTAAAACATACCGGTTAGGGAGAGAGATTTCCACACCCTTATAAAAAAATGTTTTGTTTTTCTCTTCAACTGACGTGAGATCTTATACGTATTGTAAGTGAGCTTAATAAAATTGTGAGTCGGTAGGTATATTAGGAAGGTATTAGGAAGGTGTTTGTCATTATCAAGGTCGCTAAATATGGAATAAAAAGATTAACTTTACTCAGTGATTCAACTTCATTAGCCAACAAGCTTCAAATTCTATGATGAGCAATGGCACTCAACACAACACTAAAGCATAAAGATCAAACCAATCAATGGAAAAACAAAAAATAAAAAGGAAAGGAAGCTGCTTTACCAAATTCACCTAAGCTAAAGAGAGACCACTTTTGGTGGGCCCAGGCCCAACCACAGCGGCCTATCAAATCAAGCAAATTATGGAATCCGAGTCCAGCAATCGATAACAACCTTACAAATTAGACACCCAAAACAACTACGTAATTGGAAGGAGCTTCAAAATTAGTGAGCCTATGAGTCTGAGTCATGGAAGTTGTGGCTCCCAAATTACAGGCGTCGGCAGTGAGCCTTGCACATGTGTCGACAGTCGTAAAAGCAAGGCCCGCCGCAGTGAAGCGGACAGTCCAATCTCATGCCTCTGCATCTTCCTTTCACCATACATTCCGCAAATTCTCCCAAACTGTAATCTTCCTCATTGTATATTCTCTTCCTGTCTACATTTTTCCTTCTCCCACCGCCGCGTCTGCCAGATTTTGGCTGTCCACCACAACCCCATTTCCACCACCCACCTCCCCCTCCTCCCCATCCCCATCCACCACCACCACCACCTCCTCCACCCCCTCCACCTCCACCTCCACCGCCTCCGCCCCATCCCCACCCATACCCACCGCCTCCTCCCCTGTTCTGCTTGCTAACCTCAACCGTAGTAGTATTACCAGAACTGTTTCTCCCCTCCCCTGCATTTCCCCCTGGCAGCTCGGAGAATGTTAAGAAAGTGCCATTTTTCAAACCCTCAGCTCTCGACCCATAAACCGCTACTCCAAAAAAAACTAACAAACAACAGAACATCATTCCATTTTCCAAACCCATTTCTTGCAATTGGTTGTACTGTTTGAAAGCCCATATATAGGACGTTCTTCTTTTTCTTGAAGAAACCCCACGAACCCAACCCAACCCAACCAACGTGCAGTACAGATGGGATGGCTTGAATCCTACTTTTGTTCTGTCCCCCCACTTGCATTGCAAAATCAACAACGCCATACCGCTTAACTAAAGCACTGTTGCCCACATTCACCAAATCGACTTCTTTTGCGAGTGTCATCAATGCGACCAAGCGGTGGTGGCCGGTCGGCTTCGTTGGTTGTCCCGTGCACAAGGAACCGCCAACTTCACCCACAAAAATTTATAATTTATAATTTAAAAGATTACCCTTTGCTCTAATTACCCATGATTACTTTAGATTAATGTATAATTATCGTTTAATTATATAAAATCAACCATAAGTATAAATAATCAGTTGATTTTCGATTATTTAATATTATTTATTTAAGAGTCTTCTTTCTTTTTTTTTCTTTTTTTTTTTTTAATGGTTAGTATATTTGTGATAGTCTAGTTGGTTAAATACAACTATTTTTTTTTTTTTTAAAGCAGAAGTTTAATAATAATTTATATGCAATTTAATATTTAATTTTGTGTTTATTTGAATTTTTAACTGAAAAAAAAATCTTTGATAATTTTTATGCTTTTATATTGAATAAAATCTTTATAAAATTAACAATTACCTTCCGTGTCTGGGTCAAGTCTAGGGTTTTGGAGCAGAGGGTTTATCTCACAAATCCGCAGCGCAGAGTCTACTGATATTCTTCGATTCGCAATGGGGAAGAAGAAGTTCTTCGACAAGAAGAAATCCGCAACTTTCCAATTACTTGCGCGTGACTCATCCGATCCCAATTACGATGGAACTGCCGCCACCGACCGTGTTTTTGTTCGTGTCGACAACCACTCTTATACTCTCCCTGTCTTCGACGATGGTCCTGTCGATGCTTCCGGTTCTGCCTCCTTTGAGGAAAACCCTAACTCGATCTTTGCCGATGCTCCTGACGATTACGACGATGAAGAGAACGGAGGTTTTGGAGCTTCCGGGCGGTCTCGGGGGGAACTTGGTGGACCTGCGTCGTTACCGGAAAATGTTAGAAGGGAAATTCTCGAGCTGGGTTTTCCTGACGATGGTTACAATTATTTGCTGCATCTTCGGGATATTAAGAATACTGGTGGTGGTTCGGCGTTTTATAATAACCCCAAGGCCAAGCTGAATCAGCTTCCACGCGATGAGAAGGTTGGTTGTTTTATTTATTTATTTTTTTAATGTTTTCCTGCATTGATGTACGAACTATGGAGTGGGATTTTAACAGAATTTATAACGTTTCATGATATGGATGATAGACACGAGTGAGCGTATCCACCATTCTACAATGCTAAGATATTTCTGAAAATAAGCAATGGTTTATAAAGCTTTTCTTTTTCCCCCTCTGGATCAAAGTTTTTACCTTTTTCCGTTCCATGTTTCTTTGATTGTATTGTAGGCGTATGATGCCTCCGGAGTGATTGTTTCTCAAGGAACCAGTGATGCCGATGAGAACATCATGTACAAAGTAGCGTCCAAGACTGTTGGAGTCAAGGTTCAAAATGCTATTGACCCAGAAATAGCTGCACTGCTTGATGACGATGATTTATCACGATTTGGTTCTGATGTTGAGGACTTGGAGGAGGATTTCGTAGTTCAGGCAAATTTATGTGAAGAAGGGGAGGATGGTTCGACGGATAATAAGTTTAGTGTGGCTGAGGATTCTGATAGAGCGACAGGAAGCCAGAATATTGTTAATAACAAATCTTTTGGCGACGATATTTTTGAGGATGCAGACGTTGACCATGTGGAAGATGATGTTGATAAGCCACGAACTCGTCGGCTTTTGGATGATCAATTTGACACCGTGAGTTCCCAATACCTCTTATGCATTGCAGTTCTGTAGATTTTTCTTACTCATACTTTTATGATTATTGACTTGTTCCTGTAGGTAGGGAGTTTATATCTAATTTGGTATTATATTGAAAATTCTAGTAATGCTGTAATGTTAGACTTCAGTACTTTTTTGTGTTGGTTCTGAGTTTCGATTACCGTAAAATTGAATAAGGCCTTGCCTTTCCAGATGGTGGTTTGATTGTCTGTGCTTACCAAAAGTATTCACCCAGGAGATTCTTATTAGTGGATTAGTGAATTTTAATTTTAATTGTCAATGGCGGCAATTCTGCATTAATAATGTAGGAAATTAATGTAAAAAATATTCACCCAAGAAGTTCACCTAAACTTTAGTAGTTTACTATCCAAGAATCAGTGTTAACAGAATTGCCTCGTTCTTTTTGCTTCATGGGTATTAAAAATGGTTTCTCCATTTTCTTCTGTTCCTGCCAAGAGGTGCCTCTGTGGTAAGGGCTTGTGAAATTTGGAAGTACCCTCCAGTTTCATGGTTGAAGGCCACAGGCTGCTAATTTAATAACTGAACAACCTTGTTGGAGGTAGTCCTGCAGAGGAAAAATCCCTCTCGAGGATTATATAGTGGGCTACGAACATAATGCAAGGAGTAGAGCCTCCAATTTACTGACTGAGAAAAAGAATAATTCCTTCTTTTTAGGACATATAAATGTTGAATTACAATACCTGGAACGTCATTGCAAATGGTCGTGTCTCCGCTGAATTATATTTATTTGTACTAAATTTCTGATCTCAGTACACGTACTTCAAATTTCCCCTTAGTTTTGTGATTTAATTTGATGGAAAGTAAATATAAGCATATCAGTAAGTTTGTGTAATTATTTATCTATTTTTATTCCTTGATATCCTACCTAGAACAATGTTGCCATCTAGGTTAGGTCTTAATCAGATTTTTGCCTTAAATTCTGTTTAGAACTAGAATTACTGTCCGAGAGATCTCTTGGTGAATCAATTACCTGAGTTCTTGGTATAAGATCCTGTTGTATGCCAGTCATTTATTGGGCTAGCAGGTAATGAAGTACCTGAGGCAATAGGACAGTGTAGGATCCAGCTATAATTTTTTTTTTTTTCTCTATAAACGGTTTTGGTTAGGGAGGGTTGGAAGCCTCTTGAATGCTTTCAGGAGTATCCCTTTCTTACCATTTTTCCGTCTAATGATTTTGAGCCACTAAGCGATGGGAACTAGAATTCCCTTTTCTTTATGTGCTTGAGATATTTATTTTCTCTCGTTCCAACATTTTTCTGTGGTAATTTTATATTTACCTCACTATTTATGATGGATGCAGCTCTTAAGCCGGGACTATGCATCTGGTGACGACGGTGGCAGTGATTGTGATGAGCATGATGGTTGGGTAGCTGAAGAAGATGAGTCCTTTGCTCAGAAGCTCAAGCATGCCCTTGGTGATCATAGTAAGGATGACTTGGACCTTGACCAAGGATATAAAGCTCCTGCGGATATATTGAGTGGCAAAGAAGGATCAGCAGATCAAGAGCTTTTGCAGTCTGCCAGTGATGTAATTCACCGATGTATGGAGTACGCTGAGAAATATCAAAATGAAGATGATGACATTGAAGATGAATACATATTTGAGGAGAGCAGTGATGAATCAGAAGTTTGGGACTGTGAAACTATTGTTTCTACATGTTCTAATCTCAATAACCATCCTGGAAAGATTGTAGCTCCTGAAATAACCAGAAGGAAGAAGTTGGCAGAAACTGTCTCTGGAGCCCTTAATTCTAAAAATTCTATGATAACTCTCAAGGGGAAAGAGAAGCTACCAGTGGACTTTCTACCTCATGGTCGAAAAGTTGTTGACAAAGTGAAAGATAATGGCAGCTTGAAAACTGAACAACAGAAGAGAAAGCTGCACGGTCAGGAGTCCAAGGAAGAGAAGAAGGAGAGGAAGGTAACTAGGTTTACCTTCTTCCGCTTAGTGTTATGTTTTCGTTCATCCACGGAGTCTTTAATGGTTTAGAGATATTTGTTTAGTATTTAAGTAGAAATCTCTGTGCTACTTTTAGAAAGCCTAAATTGTAGATATAAGTGGCTTGTGCATTTAAAATTAGCCTATCCTTTATTGTTCTTTTATGATGGCCTCTTAATCCATGCATGCAGGCTGCTGTCAAGGAAGCACGACGTGAAGCACGGCGCACAAAAAAAGAATTGAAGGAACTTTACAAGGGGGAAACTCATCGTGCTCAGAAAGTAGTTGCTGTTTCTGGTCCAGCATCTATTCATCTTATGTAAGTATACCAACCAAAAATTGTTCAGAATTTTTTGTTGGTATGTCTAAGATGCTATGGAACATCTCTTTCCTTGATTATATATTTGTTTTTGCTGCTTGTTGTTGTGAAAGGAAAGCCTGAAAAACCAATAGCTGATCAAAGTAATTTTGTTCTCTTTACTCGTTATCCATCATATTTTCTTGTGAAATTGTAGACTACTCTTAGTCTTCGGATAAAATGAGTTGGTGCTACTTAACTGTAGACCTTCACAAGTTTATAAGAGATAGCTGTTCACTTACATTCTTTTTTTTTTTGGGTACAATAGTTTTTCGAAGGATATAACCTAGTGAATCTATGTAATAATTTATTTAAAAAACCACTTATCTAGTGCAAAGCTGATTTTGCTCAAACGAACTATAAACTTCAATTGACTAATGTTAACTGCAAACATCACTGTTTTTCCATAATTATCGTAAATATTTTTATTTCAGGTGAGGGAGAGCTTCTTGATGCTACATAATTGGACATTTTTTCATTGTGACAAAGATCGAAGTACTGGGGAGAAGTTCCTGAAACAATTCTTATAAGGAACGAAGTAGAGACCATGATCTATATGCTTGGAGAAGGGAGAGAAGACAAGAAATGGGACAATCTGTTCAATGATTCCTTGGTGTCCACCACGGACCAATTCTTTATATGTTTAGTTTAAAGAGAGCTTCTGCAACTCACCTTGAAATGTTCCAATCAAAGCATATTTATTTAAAACTAAAGTCGGTTGCTTCAACTTGTACTTTCGCAAGGACCATAAATAGTCGAGTTTACGAGTGGCAAGATAATCGTGTATTTTTGTTTACTCCTATGGCAATTTAAGTTTAAAGTGATGACAATTCTTCTTGAATGAATCTATTCAGTGTTCTTTGTATGTTTATTCAAAATGAACCATCCTCTTTTTCCAGGTCCTCAACGATTGGACCAACGAATCGAATCTAGAGGGAAGGAGAAGCTCTCAGACAAAGGTAACAATCCAAATCAAAACTACGAAAAGTTCATTTCTTATATCTTCGGATTACTCCCTGAATACATCTTACTATTGCGATTTCTATCTTCTCTTAGCAATTTAATAGTATTGTAACCATGTGTGGCACCATTTGTAAAGGATGATACAATGAAAGTATATATAGTTAGCGTCATATGAAGAGCAAGTGTATTACGATAGCATCACACCAGAACAACTCGATGTTTCATGGTCTTGCTTCGACTTCATGGGGAATGGGGTCTGCATATCCTCCTCCAAACACAGGGGTTGGGTTCCAGTACCCGTAGTCTGCTACAATTTCTGACAGAACCTTGAAACGACTGTGATCTCCCTTCACCTCAGATTCATGGATGCCATGAGGGGTCGTCGAGGGTGCCGCTGATAATGGCGACAACAAACGTGATCCTGCAGCTGTTTTGGATAATGCTGTTATTATAGTGAACGTCATTACACCGAAGAATAAAGAGTAAAGAAAGGAAGCAAGTGTCACTCCTGCCATGCTATATCTGTGTGGTATCTAACTCCCTGCAGTTCAAGATTGTCCCAAGTTGTAAAGGCAATGAAGTGTCCTAATTTATGAGGCGTGGGACTTAGTTGAGGGCTGGATCAAAGCATAAGCAGTGTTTGAACTAAATTGAATTTTCCTGTCATGCGAGGTGGATGACATGTCATGTTTCTTTCATGCATGTGGTGTTTTATTAAATGGAAATTTGTAAAATGAGAATCCACTTGGATGGGACTACCATTGATTCGTTCTTCTCTCTAATCGATGCAGGATCTCACAATTTGTTCCCTTCTCCAATTGATGAGGGACCCCCAATCCACCCCCTTTGGGCCTAGCATCCTTGCTGGCACACCGCCTCGAGTCCACCCCTTTCTGGGCTCAGCCTCCTCGCTGATACATCGTCTAATGTCTGGCTCTGATAACATTTGTAATGGCCCAAGTCTACCACTAACAAATATTGTCCTCGAGTTTTCCTAACAAATATTGTCCTCTTTGGAGTTTTCCTTTCGAGTTTTTCTCTTGAGGATTTTAAAACAGTCTACTGGGAAGAGATTTCCACGCTTGTATAAAGAATGCTTCGTTCTCTTTCCCAACCGACGTGGGATCTCACATAACCACACCACTATACTATCTCGAATTACACATGTATTTGAGGTTCTCTTCAATCTTGAGTTGCCTTAGAAATTAAGAAGGAAAAATACTGTGAAAACAGAGGAATTGAGGGAGAGCTGAGAAGGGAAAAAAAACTATAAGATGAAGCAAAGCAAAGCAAAGAAGAGAAGACCCACTTAAAATGATGAATCAGAAAGAGATTTTGTGAACACTGCTGCAATGGGGAGCAGATATTAGTGCTTGTATGGTATTCCTCGTCAATTATTTGGCATCATCATCAATCATTGGATTCGTTCATTTGACCTTCAAGTACAGCAGAGATCAGATTAAAACTTTTGATAAAATAACAAAAAGTAAACAAAAACTGGGCCCTACACAAAGACTTTGGCTGGCAATGTGTTAAATGTGACTTGTCCGTGGTGTATATAACAGAGGAATCTAGAATCAGCAGTTTCCATCACAGAATGAACAGATTTAAAAGGATGAAATTTGTGGTTGGGCAATAATAATCAAACAAATATATGAGAGGGCTTCATAGAACCGAATTATTATACAAAGGGCAAAACTCCCACTGCACACATTCGAAGTTATATAATTGACACTGAACACCTAAAACCAACCATGACAACGGATTAAGAGAGAAACCTATCTAAGAATCATCATGGGATTGCATTGTAAAACACAAGCACTTGTCTTTCACTGCTTCACCCTCACTCCCATACTCTTTAAATCTGTACTCTTCTTGCTTGCTTGAAGGAGGCACCTTCCCCTCGCTATAACATTGATTACACAAGCTAAAATGTGATTTCATCTCCTTGAATCGAGATCCGATGACAGGGTAGCGGCAAACGGAGCATACGTGATTCCCATGTCGATTTCTGTCTCCGCTTTCTAGCTTCAACAGGGTGGACATAATACCAAAACCCCAATCTTGGTCATTGAACATGACAAGAAACTCTGTGAAGGACACCACAGAATTGTCTGTCTGTCCATGGACTTCCATTATCTCACTGGATCCTTGGCTAGGAATATATATGGCCCTCAACAATTTGATATACCTGACTGCATCAAATTTTCTGATCTGAGTGCCACCGTCGTTCACAGGTCGCCATACAAGGGCATCGTATGCCACCCGCTTTCTCTTTTCAGGGGGACCTGTGCAAATGGGAGCAAGAATGGCGAAAAACAGCCCCAAGTCCACCCTTCCTGAGCCTGTCTCGTCCAGGACAGAGAGTATCCTCTCGTTAATGGCTTTGACAGCTCCTTGGAACGTCTCTGGCTTCAAGAAATTCAATAATCTACGAAGAATTTCTTCCAAGCTAGGCTTACGTATGGACTTCTCAGGCACGCCACCACCTGAATAAGACACTGGCACCTCATGTTCACTGATTTCCTTCTTAATAAGTTCCACGTCACAGCGATTCAATCGGGTAATCTTCTGAAAAGATCTAATTTTGAGAGCATTTGACAGTTCCGGTCTCAAAACAGTCTTCTCTCCAATGGTCTTAAACTTTGAGGCTTCCACAACTATAAAAGCTCCTTCACCATTTGCACTGCCATTGCCTTTCAACTTCTTCTTCTGCAACTGTTTCAAATGCGATATTGCATCATGCAACTCCACCCTGTTCGTCATTTTCAAGGCTTCCTTTAAGGCCTTCTTAGCGTCCTCAGCTTCCCCAGCACCCAACAAGGACACAGCTTTGTTCAGCTGCGCCCGCCAATGGTTAGGCCACACAGCTAAAACCCTCGTGTACATTTCTGAAGCTCTCTGGAACCTACCCAAGTCCATGTAAAGTCCACCCAAGTTATACAAAGCATCTACATGGCCAGGCTTCAAGTCGATTGCCTTCTGAAACACCTCAATTGCTCGCTCATCTTCCCCCATCGCATGCAAAGCGGAGGCCAAATCACAGTGAGCATCAGCATAATCTGGTTTCATGAATATGGCCTCTTCCAACGCCTTAACGGCAGCCCTATATTCCCCTACTCCAAATAAAGCACTCCCCAGCAGTTTCAAAGCTCTAAAATGTGTAGGACAAAGAATAGCAGCTTCTCTATAGTATTCGCAAGCACTTAAAACCATACCTTCACCTTCAAGTGCAATACCGAGATTCACATAAATTTGTGGAAGCAAATATCCCCATTGATTTCCCCCAGCCTCCGCCGCCTCCAATGCCAACAGAAACTCTTCCTTTGCCTCCTTGTATTTTCCAAGAACATACAAACAGTTCCCAGCTCTAAAATGCGGCCTCACATCAGTAGGTTGCAACTCACAAGCCCTCTTGAAGCTAACAAGAGCTTCCTTGAAAAGCTGGTGCTCATACAAAACCCTACCAATTGCCATATGCCCATCAAAGGCCTCCTCTCTGGACCGCGCTCGATCTGCTCGGGTTCTCAAAACCCCTAATTCCTTGAGAAACGTAGCATAGTCATGGCCGGACTCTTCCCAGAAAACCCTCTTCTCAGAAAGCTCCGAAGACGGCCCCAATTCTCTCGACCAGCCTGCATCAGAATAGGCATCGAAATTGTCCGCCTTCAATTTCCCATCCTTAGCCTGCTTTGTCTTTAACCTCTTAATCAAAACCTCCAAATCATCCACGATCTTCCAAGTATCATCGAAGACAATACCATGATTCGGCGACAACGCCCACGCCGCAGTCCTCTGCTTCTTCTGCGACTCCAAAGCACGTTCATCGGCAATTGAAGAAGAAGAAGCCTCGGAAGTCACCAAAATTCCCTTGTTATCATCCTGATTGAGTTCCAATTCAAGCGCGTCGAAGTCACGGTCCACATCTCCAGCACCATCATCATAAGTCCTCAACAATCCCTCAAAAGTCAAACCCTTATCGCCCTGAATGAAATCCCCATACGTCCGAAACACCTCATCGAGAATAGCATTGATCTGTTCCTCGCTAAACTTGACCCTGGGGTTAACCGCCACAACAAGCGCCGCCATTTCGTCCCTATTAAGACCCCCATCATGGCTAACATCAAATTTCTGAAAGATCCTCTTCACCTTCTCCGATCTGCTCCCTCTCGTCGACATTGCTGGAAAGGGGGAAGCAGAGGAAAAGAAGGAAACAAAAGCAGTGGAGAAACAAAGAAATCAGAAAGGCAGAAAAATCAAAGAATCCATTAGGGTTTTAATTTTGGATACGAACATGAGATGATTTCTCCCTGTTCTTAGTTTCATTGGATCTGGAAGAAACCCAAATGAGAGAAACAAAGAAAGGACAGACTCCGCCCTATCTTTATTATCTCCTCCATTCCCTCTCCCCTCTTCCTTCCTTTATCTAATTTTCCATTGAATTTTTTTAATTTAATCTTTATTACACCTCCTTGTAATAATAATAAATAAATATATATATATATATATATTAACCTAACTATAATTAATAAATAGAGTGCCAACTGGGTTTGATAGATGAGTTAATATAAAAATACAATACTCTTTGTTCTTATAATTATTGCATATCAAGTGTTTGATAATTTGCTTCAATCGCGGCCTCCTCCACTTTAAACACCCAATCACTTTCATTACCCCCAAAAGTTAATCACCTCATTGTCATCCACATCAAATAATTGATTCCAAAACATTTTACTCCTAATTCTTTTTTATTTTTATTAAATTCTTTATGCGTTTTTTTTTAAAATGATAAGAACACTAATTTTAAACCCACTTTGAAATCTTTGAGATTTAAAAAATTAATACTATAATTACTTTATAAAAGCGGTTTTGAATATTAGATTGTGAGAATGAATTTGA